AGAAAATTATTGACATTATTTCCTTGAAACCCTTCCCTGCCTGTACATGTCTGTGTCAATAATTGTCATGTTGGAAATTGGCAATGGGCCTTTGGCAGCTCGCCTAGGAATGTCAAATAGTCTCCATTAGGTTTGAAAGCTCTGAGTTTCAGTAATGGGTTGATACTCTACCTGATATGATTGTACAAAATTACATAATTGATTTCTGGGACACTGTGCCACACAAATTTTATAGGTTTCTTTTATTTTGTGCCTCAAAAGGCAAATGTGCCTTCATTCATTTTCCTCCATAAGAGGATTTCAAGTCTTGCTCCTGACTGGTCCAGATTAAACTCAGGTATTTTATAAGGCTCTCCACCCTTTTTCTCTATTTTATACATCAAAGCCTATGGTTTTCCATTGGCTTCTAGGAATAGGTCATTAAAAGTAGACCAGAGAACATTAATTCTTCCCAAACATAGCTGAATAAAGTATCATGCTTAGAGCGAAAGAAGAAATGAACATTTCTTAATTGTGATGTATTTTTACAACGTGTTTTCTTTCTCAGCTTTAGGATTGTTACAAATGCAGTATCTATGTTTAAAGCACACTAGAGTAGGCAATCCTTTCTAGAAAGAACCAATTGTTCCCCCATCAGGAACAGTGACCAGGTAAGAAAGCACCGGCCTCTGTGAGATCTGCTCTCTGTGGAGGGCCTCATTCCACTTGATTCCCATTCAAGCAGGACTGCGCTGTCTGGGCCAAAGCAGAGCGGAAACACCAAGCTGGCAACTTTTGGGACACTGGGTAATTGTGCCTAATCTTTAAACAATGACCATGACAAAGCCAGCAAATGGGGCCTGGGAGAATGAGTTAGGCTGACTGTGTGTGTGGGGAGGGGAAGGTGTACTGTGATGCACTGTGAAAGCAACATTTTATATGAAGATAGAGTGGAATATTATGAAATGCAAAAGGAATATGATAATATTAATGGAGGATACTGAAAGACAAGAGGAATTTAATTAAAAAAAGAAACCTTACTGGATGGAAATTATTTCATTTGTTTAATTACAGTCACCAATTGAATGCTACACTGAGTCACATATTCAAGTATCCAGATGATTTCTGGACTGAATGACTCAAAAAAACTTCTTTCTCCTTGAAAAATGCATTTCTTCTAGATGGAACTTTCCAAAATATTAATAAATATAGGTTGCCATCAACAGACAACCCCAAATGTATTTTTAAGTAAGAAAAATGACTATCTGGAATGTACTATATCAGGACCTAATACTGTACTTTCTTATGCAACACGCCCGCATGCAGCAGGAGTGTCTTGTCAAGGATGTAATACCATCTTTATGCTGGTATTCAAGGGAATCTTGATACAATCACCTCAAAACTTCCATAACAAATATGGTTTCACTGTTTCATGCTGTGACATTATGGGAAGCATCAAATTATTTCTTAAATGAAAATGAACTGAAGTTTGTTTTGAGATTTTCACAACTTCCTCAGAAATACCTGGGATATTAAAGGTGTCATAACAACCAATGGGATTCATTTTTTATGATCATTCATCAATGCTTTGTCCAGTGACTTGGAATAGCTTTTCTATTCTGTGCTAGGCACAGTTAAGTATGCAGTAAGGACACAGGAATTAAAAATTCAGTTCCTACCCACTTGGAGCAGACAATCAAATATCTTAATCAAAAAGCCCTGTCATTTGTTCTTAATTCTCATCATCATCACCACCATCAAGGTAACGTTGGTTAACAACACTGTGTGTGATTTCAGGATATAGGCTCACACCTCTTCAGATGTATGTTACCAAAGCCTCATAGTCCTCTACCACGAGATATTGGGGCTCTGTCTTGCTTGGTTCCTCATTCCCGCCCTTTCCCCCTTCCCCACCCCCGTAGCCTCAATTCCACAATCAGATTTCTAAGGTTTGTTTTGGTTTTCTTTTGTCTGTTCCTTTGTTTTGTTTCTTTATATTCTACATATGAGTGAAACAATCTGGTAATAGTGTTTTCTTGTTCACTTATTTCACATAGGATAATCCCCTTTACTTCAATCCATGTAGTCATAAATGGCAAGATTTTATCTTTCTTATGGCTGAGGGGTGTACCATTGTGTGGATAAACCACATCTTCGTAACCCACTTATCTGCCAGTGAGCACTTACATTGGTTCTAGAACTTGGTTATTACACATAGAGCTGCAGTGAGCATAAGAGTTCATATGCCCCTTTGAATTAGTGGTTTTTTGCTTTTTTTTTTTTTTCATTCTGTGGGTAGATACCCAGGAGTGGAATTGCTGGATCATGTACTAGACCTATTTTAATATTTTGAGAACCCTGTTTTCATAGGAACTGAGTCACTCTACATTCCCACTAGTAGCGTGAGAACACACAAAAGAAAACCAAAACAAACCTTAGTGTGAGAAGGTTGCTTTTTCTCACACTATCATCATCCCTTCACCTGTACAGTTCTGCACATGTTCTCTTTGATCTGGGGTGGTCTCACTCACTTTTCCTTGAAGGCAAGAAAGATCAAACTGCAAGCTGAAAAAAAACTTCAAGAAAGATGAATGGTGGCCTAGGGGTTAAGACTCAGTGCTACCACTGTGAAGGCCTACCAGTATGGCCTAAGTTCGATCCCCGGCCAGGGAGCTGACCCACATGGTGAAGCAGACCTCTCCTGTCTCGCCCGCTGCTCCCCTCAGCAGTGTATTTCAGTAGATCTGGCTGTGTGCTCCCCACTCTATCTCTGCTGAATCTTCTCACCCCTGCAACCTCTGGCCTGCAATCCAGTTATTTTATGCAAACTAAATAAACAAAAACTTTTTTTAAAAAAATAAAAAAGAAAGATGAATGGGCTGCTCAGCTCATGCAACTATCTGCCCTTAATTTTGAGCTACTTTCTCTAATACTGTGGTGTATTAGATATGTATTGCTGGACTCCCTTCCCACTATAAAGTTCCCAATTTCCCTCCATCTTATTCCATCCTCTGACTCACCATGGAGACTGTTGGGCTGGCTCAGCCTCAAATACACCTGCTCTTCCAGCCTTTTGAATCTGCTCAGCCATCCTGTGTTAGGGGAAGACCAGAAATTCTGAGTCCTGCCTCTCCTCCCATGTCTTCTCAATGGTTGATTGAAAGAGGCCCAGATGGGTCACAGCTGGGTACTTCTCTCCCCCTGTACACTTCCAAAAATCTCACTCAGGACTCCCCTGTGTAGACAAGGTTGAAAACTACAATGACCTTCAGGTCACTGGAGCAATGACATAATCAGTGATAACAACAATAGAGCACATACTGGCAATTTCTGAGCATTAACACATTCAATCCCCATAGCAGCCCCATGAACTGAACTAACTAGTGATATTATTCCCATTTTATAAATAAGTAGCAAAATAAAAACTAGGACCCCAGCCAAACTCTATAGGCCTTCTTTCCCCAAACAGAATCCAAAGTCCTTACTTTAAGCTTAATTTCTTTGTTTTCTATCAAAATACAGCCACACCCAGGAGAGGTCCTACACTATGAAAGTTTGCCTCAGTCTGTGAGTGGAGACTGACCCAGTGTTCACCATTCTTACTTATGAGTCAGCACCCAGGAGGCCCACACCTCCTGACCTTCCTGGAAGACAGGTTGAGTGTACAAGGCTGGGTTCTGGCCAGTGGAACATGAGTCCTTTTTAGATTAGACCAGAAAATACCTCACAGGTTGTTCACACTAGCCCTGCTTCTTCTGCATCCCAGGAGTTCCCGTGTCTAAGATGGCAGCATCGTGGGCCAGAAGAGGTTGGATTTCTGAGTCATCTCTTAGCTTAGAGCTTCACAGAAAGAGTGTTCACCTTGCTCCAAGCTGTGAGGAGCAAGAAATAAACCTTGATGTTGCCAAGCCCCTGAGCTCTGGAGGGTGCTCCTCTAGTGGCCAGGACCCTTATCCTGATGACTATACTTGCTGTTGTCATAAGGAAATACTCGTGACTGACTTATGTTCAATTTCTCAAACTCAGCACAAATATTCCAGATCTCATCGTAACCAAGAAGTAGAAGTTCAGCAACCACTGAGCCAAAACTCTAAGTCTGGAGACAAGACTAAGTCTTCACGAGCCAAAACAAAAAGAATCGAACAAAAACTCACCTGTGGGCAACTCAAGGGTACACATTCCCTAAAAACATTTCTTCTGAAAAATTTCTAAGATAATCGGCTCAGTCATCATATCCAGACTTACCTGGCTATTTTAAGCTCTATCTTAGAAAATCATTTCAGAATGTCCTTTTAAGTCTCCTAAAACCACCATATGTGTGAGTGGGTGAGTCGTGCCAGTTTTTTCCAACTGCTCATGGGATACAGAGGTTGCAGATGCTGTTCCAGTTAATCAATTACCACCCATATGGGGTGGTTTTAATCAGTGCTTTAAGATGCACCTGGAACTAATTAACTCTTGTAGGTAACAATAGCAAGAACACACAAGTGTCCCTGGACTGCAATGGGCCTGTTCGTTTTGTGCCACGCGAGGTTGTCAGTGTCCCACAGGGGCAGGGCCGGGTAGCTCACCCCAAAAGCAATCAAGTGATTATCTTGGTCTTCATTCTAATGATCGCTGTGCAAACTGTGATTAGCACAGCGTGATGGTCAGTGAGACTTAATTCTTACTGGATAAAGGCTCAGGTTATAACATATGTGAGGCTAAATTTGTCATGCAGATGTTGATCCACTTAAAATATTTTAAAAGTTTGGCAAGATATGTGGCTGGGATGTGACAGCTCAATGACAGATGGCTCAAATAAAAAAGACAACAATGGAAAAACTATATCATGTATGGCACAAAAATTAGCAATGGGCTGGGGCAGCTATCTGAAGACTCAATTCAAGGTTTAGTGTTCTCATATTTTTAAGTTATTAAGTGAATATTGAGATTTATTTTTTGTTCTATAATAGAGTATCCAGAGACAGAAGAAGAAAATCCTCCAGAAGAATATTTGAAAATAAAGAATGACATTTCAATCTGGATTTATTGTACATGCAATAGTATGGCAGAAACTAGGGAGAACAGAAAATTGTATAGAGCTTCATCTCGGGAACTTTTTGAATTAGGCAATAAGCTTGCTCTATATACAGGTATATCCCTTATTTAAAAGATGCTCCTTTGGTTCAAGGTAGTGTTTCTCAAAGAGCCACTTAAGGATGCTGTAAAAAAAGAGAAAGAAAGAAAGTAAGAATCACCTGGGATATTACATAAAAAATCAGATTCCCCAACCTCATCCCAGAGCTAATGAGTTGAAAGATCAGGGGCCTTGGCTTATAGGATTTTAACAATCACCATCTGACTCTAGAACCCTCAGTAAAGAGACCTCTTGGGAGAGATCAAGTGGGAGAAGTATGATGCATTAAAGACAGAAAACATGTTGCTTATTTACATGAGAACCCAGCAAAATTAAACTCTGATAGAAGTGATTTTTTAAATTGAGATTATAAAATCAGATTAAACAAGAAGTTAAATGTGTCTATCTAAATAAAACAGAGATAGACAAAAGGATACTATGGAAAATATAATGTTTCCAATTGAGATAAATTAGATGTTTAACTTTTTGTTGTATAAAATGGAAATAGAGATTTCAAATTATATATTTATAATAAGCAGTTAGACAGATATCACAGTCCCCACTGTGATTAGCAAACAGCTCGAGAGAATACCTTTTATTTTTTCTTTTCTATTCTTTGCACTGTTCACTTCCTTCTGTTTTTAACAACAAAGACTCCATACCAGTCAAAGGGGAAAGGTTTTGAAGTAGCTATTAGGAGCCAGTTTTCCCCTAAAACAGCACAATTCATCCTTCACATATCAGAACTCCTCAGTGGGAGGTTAAATTCTGAAAGCTGTTTGGTCAGGATTTAATATTACACCTTTCCATTTATAGCTCGGCGCCCTAATCTCCTGCATTCAAGATATTGGGAACCCCGTCCCTCCATCGTTGTTCAGAGACTGGTGCCAAGTGCCACTGGAAATAGATGTCACTTGAACAATGAAAACCTTATTTTCAAAGGAAAAAGATGAGATGGCCTACACTTTTCAGACCACAGGGAAGTTTCAGCACATTCAAGCCAGAATGTAAGTCGCAGGGAAAGGCAGAAACCCACAAGTGAAAAAACTGTAAGAAACTTGGTTATCTGCACAAGGAGCAGATTTTAGCTGCTCGGCACAATTCACGATGACGACTGGACCAAAATGTCTCCAGGGCAGTTGAGAGAAACATATTTTAAAAATTAGTATAGAACTGATTGGCATTTGGTTCCCCTTATAAAGAAAGTGGCCGGTCAGGCAGATGCCAGTACTTGAGGCAGGCACATCTTTGGCTGATCGTGAAATCCCCTGGTGCCTATGTGCCTCGTGGCGGTGTGCAGAAGGTGTGTATAAATACATTAACAAATAAATTTATTTTGAACAGATAGAAAGTAAAAATATCAAAGCAAGTAAAATGAACTTTCCTAAAACCATCAAGGAAAATCCCAGCATACATCCCATCACTGTACTGAGACTTACCCAATTACTCCCTAACCTTCTACCTTTCTCCACCTCTGCCCCGCTCACCTGAATCCCAACCACTGTCCCCTCTTGATTATACAACTAGGAACAGCTTTTGAAGGATCTTCCTGTATTGACTTGAGCCCATTTTCAAACTTTAATTCATATTTCAACCACAATCATCTTTTTATATTTCACGTCTGATCTACACACACACACCCCACAAGGCAACTGAAACCTCAACAATTCTCATTAGTTTTAAAATCAAAACCAAAATTCTTAATGTGGCCCAACTCCCAGCTACCGTCACAGGATCACGTGCCTTATCCTTCAACCCCGAGCCTGCTATTAGGTCCAAGAATGCATGAAGCTTCTCTGCTCTGGGCTTTAACACTTGCTGCGCCCTCTACCTGGAATGCGTCTCCCCCCTGATTCCATCCTATGTTGTAATAAAAATTCTTCTGTTAGACCTCGGCTCATGTAGGTCCTCCATAAGAAAGCGCTTCTCGGCCTCCATGTTTAGAGCATGTCGTGGATTACACAGTCTAAGCACCCCAGAGCTCTCCCCTGGGGCACTGAGGGGAATCATTACTTTATAGTCACTTATGTGATTCTTTGATTAAAATCTAACCTCTATACTATAGTGAATGTTCTATAAAGGCAGAAATTTTGTCTGAGTTCTGCTCCCCAATGTATTCCCATCAGCTAGCAAAGTACCTGGCATTATTGTAGGTTCTCAGTAAATACATGTTAAGTCATGAATCAATCAGAAGATCAATGATTGAAGGGTACCCTAGCCCAGAGTTTGTCATGCTTGTTGTTTTTAAAACCTGGAAGGCAAATAAATAAATAAATAAATAAATAAATAAATAAATAAAACCTGGAAGGCTCCCTCCTACTTGTCAAACATTTAAATGATTTAACCATTTTAGTAATGATGTGCAAAATATCAGCGGCAGACACCCTCTGGGACCAGAAGTCCATGCATTCCCTAGCAGAGGGGTCAGAGTAAGGAACTTCCAGAAACAATATCCACAGTGATTTTAGGTCCTTATGAAGTTTCTTGGGTATTTAGGCTAAAAATAACTAGTTCTAGAATGGCAACCATAGAATCTGATTTCATAAAGTTCAGAAAACAAAGTGTGGAATTACAAGTTAAAGAGCAAGGTGGTATCCATGGAAAGAGCTGGTATTTTCATGGGCTTAACACCAGATAATTCACTACTGAGGTCCAGATGAATGCCCACGTAGAGAGAAAGTCTCCAAAGGACTTTTTTCTCTTATTTTTTAATAAAATGTTCTTTTTAAATCTCACAACCACATAATATCCACCAGATTATTTGGATCGGTTAGCAAATAGCTCCGCCGATGTTCTTAACTTCTAAAAATACTTCCTTTTAATAAATATTTAATAAATAATAAAAGTTAGCATGTGCATAAAGAGAACATTTAGGAACCTACTGTGTACAATAGCTTTGTAAAGAAACTATGTTGGTGTTACATTATCACAATGGTACACGTAAAATATAGGACTCTGGCTACTAAATAGCCCAACTGGAATTCAACTCTTTCTCAAGTGCCCATGACCATCACCTCCTCCACTTACAAAAAGAAAAAGATGTGTTGATTGGCTGTTGCCATAGGTAGATTTAATATTTTAGATCTGATCTAAAATGTATGAAAATGACCATACCACCCAGGTTGTTCCATTTAAGATTTTTTTCCCTACAAATTTGTTCTAAAAGAATGTTTTTAAGCAGGGTTCCAAATTTTATTCCACTCTGAGACAAAGGAAGAAATGTCTTCAGAGTTCCAGGCACGTTCCTTGCTAGTTCGCTCACACAGAGGTCTGCTCTTCATTTTTTTTTTTTTTTCTGTTTCATTCAAAAAGCAATTCCACTACCAACCTGAGGTTAGCTACATTAATCTAATGTCAACTCCATTATTGTTAATTATTTTATGGTGGCTATATTTTAACAGAAGGGGTACAAAGATCCCTCATGTCATTTGATAGCCCACCAAGAATTATATTGAAATAACTACATTGATTTCCAGATCTCAGCAAGCAACTAGGACATAATTAAACTTTTATCTCTGCAAATTTTGCTGTCTTTTTTTTTTTAACCAGGTTACCTATTGTTCGAGAGACTAATCTTATTTTGCTTCTCAGGAAGGCCTAAAATTTCATTCAATGCTTAAGAAATAAATTAAAATGAAAGACATGTAACAGTGGATATTTCTCAAATAAGAAATTCCATTGGCATATTTTCATTGGGTTCATTTTTTTCCTGTTTCTTATTTGACTTTAATAATGCTATACTCTATTGAAGTTAAATAAAAGCATTCCTCTGAGCACTTGGAGTTAAATTAAAATAGCTATAAATCTGAAGAAGCAGCCATTTAAAGATTTTTACTTGACCTGCCTTAGAAGAAATAACCTGTAGCTCCAGAAAAAGTGGGCTCTCTGGAGCCCACTCCCTGACACCTGCTCTGAGAGCCAAGCTCCCCTCCTGCAGCACATCTGTACCTCACCCCACGCCATAGAACTTAAACCCGATGAGAAAGAAGCCTCCTCTAGACTTCTGGAAATTTTTCCTTTTGTTTTAAGAAAAATAGCAAGTAAATGTGCTGTGATGTAAAGTAGGAAGAAAAGAAAATAAATCACCAGGCTGACAATAAACAAACCCACATTATGTATGTCACACTGGTGGGTCACTTTGTGCTCTTGCCTCAGTTTTCTCATCTGGAAATTGAACAAGCTGGATTAGATCCGGGTCCAGGACTAGGGTGATGCAAATGAGGTGTTCAGAATGGACAGGGGTGCCAAAAGGCAAATTAATGCCAAAGATCCGTGATGAACAAAATATTAAATGCTTAAATAAAGACGGGCTGACAGATACCCATTTTCTCTTGATCTTGGCACAACCTGTCACTGATCCTGATTCAAATTTCTAAACCCTGTCTCTCTGGAACATTCTATGATTAGGCTTCTACTCTCCATTGGCAGCCTGGAACCCAGATCCCCCTAACCTGGAGGGGAAAAGCCCAGTACAACAGTACAACCCCCTGGGGACAGTTTTCAAGGAACCAGCAAAAATAACTAGACCTTCCTTTCCATCTCCTGTTTTTTCCCCCCAGTGAGAGAGTGATTTCAAGTGGCTTCACATCAGGCACTCTGCTCTAGGTCAACACTGACATCAGAGTCTCATTTCACTAAGAGCTTTGGGAGGACGCAGATGCCAGCAGGCTGCCTGTGCCCCATCCTGGACCATGACTTTCATTGACTTGATTAAGCTACAGCTTCAGACTGCAGATGCAAAAAAAGAGGACCTTACAGAGATTCTGGAAGACTGTACGCTCCTGCTCTGCTCCTGCTCAGCTCCTGCTCAGGTGCCCTCCCTCTTGACCAGCCTCAGCAGGGCATTTCCTGCTTATCATTCCCTGCTTATTGCCTCCAGCACAGGTGACATATTAGGGGAGAAGGAAAAAACAAAGGCAAATGAATGACAGCTGGGGGACCATAATATGCCCAGATAGGTGGCTCAAAGCAAGCAAGGCAGCTTCACACAGATCCTCCCAGTCCCTAGAGGTGCAAGGAAGTGGCAAAAGCCCTCAGATTGCCCCAAGACTGGTGCAGGAGTCTTAAAATAATTTCCAGGTTCCTGTAAGTACATGGGGGGGCTCAGAATTGCAAGTGCTTAGCTAGTTCCATTGATAAAGCAAGCTGCTTATCTTCCCAAGGAAGTTAGTAGCCTACACTCTTTCTCCATAGATCCCTGGAATCCAGTCTACACCCCACAGTATGAAATAGAAACCCCTTTTTATCCAAGTGGGGATAAACTGGTGGTGATGAGGGCAGGAATCCAAGCCCTATCAAGTGGTTGAGGTCCCATCCCTGCCCGACTCATGTCCAGGCTGGATCCACTTCCCTATTCTCCTACAGAGGCAATGTTCATAAATCAGATGTCGCCTTTTTTCTGAAACTATAGCTACTTAGATAATTTGATCTGCTCCCTCTATTGCTCGCGTCTTGTGATTTATAAGGGCTTCACTATTCTTCTTTCATATTTAAAAACCCTTATGCAAATTCTGCCAGCAGCACCGCAAACTAAAGTTTTTGCATTAATGCTCCGTATTATTCACATACAAAAATTCCATTTAAATCTCATTAAGCTGGTGACATAAATCCAAACAAACTAGAAAATGCCCCGTTAAGGTGGAAAAGTGACATATGTCTTCCAGTCCCCTGGCAGAACTACCCAGAATGAAAAAAAAATGATAAAAGTGCTCCCCATTTGGGACAAAATACCAATGGACACATACGTTACTTTTCTGCCTTTGACTGCTCGTGGCCTTCCTGCTTTTATCTCAATAGCATTTAAATGAAGTGTTTGTCAGCAACTATTTCTGGTAATGCGACGTGTGTGATTCAGTGAGGCTGTGAGCCGCCTTCTGGAAACCTTCAGTATCCTGGGAAAATCATAAAAGGTCTGTCTGCTAACGGCATTTTTTGATTTCCCTCTAGGCATTTCTTGGGGTTCGCAATATAATTTATCTGTCATGTAGTATTAACAATATACCTTTCAGGGACTTGAAGATTAGTGGGGCCCCTGAGCTGCCTGTCGCAATGTGCCGAATATTGAAAGTCCTTCTTGTCATCGGTCTCATCTCTAAGGCAGTTTTTTCTATAAAACAATTGGAATAGTGTCAGTGGGTTACGGAGGCTTTACAGTTGGACTGGCACTCTTTAGGGTCATGGCTAATTGCCAATTATTCTAAATTTTAATTCAGCAACATGTTTAGTTTAGAGGTTTGGGGAGTTGTGGGGATCATCTCTGGCCTTTGCAATTGCAAACCTGAGTGTATCCCCCTCTTAATGTGAATAAGCACAAGTTCAGACTGGCACTTTAAATGATGTTATTACAATATCTTCAGCATTTACATATTTTCCTTTAAAACATGGATTTTAGCATAGCTGTCAAGACTATCTCAGAAGACTCCATGAGAGTACAAAAAAAAAAAAAAAAAGACAGGAAAGTCCCTGCCTGTTGAAAGTTAAATGAAGTGTTGAGCTCTCCAACCACCTTGTGGAGGCTTCAGAGGCTTTGTTACCCATCTTTTGGGTATCAAAAGGTGTGTTTGTTACCCAGCCTCTACTCTCTGTGGTTGTTATAGCAATAGGCCTCTATCTTCCCTATCCCTATCCATTCTAGAGAAAAACAAAGGGTGAAAGTGAAATGGACAGAGAGGATAACATATGTGGATGTGGGCAAAGACTGTTTGTTCAATAAATGGTGCTGGGAAAACTGGGTTGCTACATGCAAGAGAATGAAGCTTGACTACTGCCTCACACCAGGCAAAAAAAAAACTCAAAATGGATTCAAGAACTAAACATAAGACCTGAAACCATAAAATATATAGAAGGAAATATAGGTGAAACACTACATGCCATACACCTCAGTAACATCTTTAAAGACTCATCATCCAGCACAGTGATAGTGAAGGCAAAGATAAACAGCAGGGACTACATCAAATTAAAGAACTTCTGTACAGCAAAGGAGACAGCAGCCAAAACAAAGAGACACCCCACTGATTAGGAGAAAATTTTTGTACACAACACTAATGATAAAGGACTGACCACAAAAATCTACAAAGAGCTGATGAGACTCAACAAAAACAAAGTACATAATTCAGTCAAAAAATGAGCAGAAGAGCTAAAAAGAAACTTCTCCAAAGAGGAAATGCAAATGGCCAACAGGCATATAAAAAAAGTGTTCAACCTCACTTGTAATCAGGGAAATGCAAATGAAAACTGCAGTGAGATCCCATCTGACACCAGTGAGAATGGCACATATTAAAAAAACTAGCAACAACAAATGTTGGCGAGGATGTGGAGAAAAAGGAACTCTCCTGCATTGCTTGGTTGGAGTGCAAACTTGTCCAACCACTATGGAGAGCTGTGTGGAGATTCCTCAACCTGCTAAAGATGGAGCTTCCATATGATCCAACAATTCCACTCCTAGGTATTTGCCCAAAGGACAC